AAAGCCTCTCCCGATTACCCGATATGCTTAGCTCAAAATTTACCTCACCAACTGAATCGTATCAAAATTGATTTGAAGCATAGTTTTTCAGTGAGATGAAAGAAAAATCACGAACGTTAAAGTTGTTATTTAGCTACACCATCGGTTATGTGGTTTTGGTAACTTCCTTCGTAGTCATTTTCACAGTCACTAATAAGAAGCTACTTGGGCACAGGATCAGGACACTCTAAGAAGTCAACTCACCCTAACAAACATCGATATTCTTCTCTGTGACATTTCTCCTTTAGCGAATCTGGCAGCGAGATACTTAGAAGAAGATATCATTACATAATTCGTTCACGCCTGGATAATTGAACTCGGAAAAAAAATTGACCTACCTTCCTGACCTGTTTTCTGAAGACTGGAAAGATATATTGCCAGCTCGTGCAGGTTCAAACAGCTGCTCAGATGGGCGCCGATCGGAAAATGTAAGAGAAATAATATGTTGGCCCTCATAGAATTATAGCCATACGTTATCCTTACCAAACTCATTTGTTCCACCAGTCGCACGTCGAACGTTTTCAACGTAGGATCCATGAGATTCTCTGTAGCGCGCATTCTCGGGAACCGAAATATCGCCAGCCATTTGCGTCGGTTCGTTAACCATCGGATCCTGAACGCCAAACACATGAAACCTGCCACCATGCGAATTTCAAGAAAAAAAGATATCCAGAACCCACATTGATCCTTAAAGAATGTTCGCTCAGCCGCTCATCATGCATTCCTGACCTGTACCTAAAAACACAAATTTCAGTAAGTTGAAATGACGGTAATGTTGAGTAAACATACCAATCAGGAGTGTGCCTCAGAGTTATTTTGCCAGGTGTGAGTAGGTCATTCCTCTCCTAAAACAGGGTAAAAACAATACCTGATTGATGGTTCAATATAACACCCATTTCATTTTGTTAACGATATAAAAAATTATTCCTTACTTCGTCTGGACGAGGGAGGTCCCCATTGTTAAGAAATCTGAAAGCTTCTCGTATATTCTACGCACAATTATCGCAGCAAATGCTACTTTTAGTACTCAACAAACCTGGGAGGCGTCTCCTTCAAGAAGGCAATACTGGCACTCAGGAAAGACTGTAAAAAACAACTTCTGCGCAAAAAGTTATACTGATGAAAAAACTCATCATCAGTCTTACTTCTGTCGATGATTCATGGCTTGAATCGCGCCACGGTTTTGATAAGGGTCCTCGGTCTGGCGCTTCGAATACGTTTTCAGTTAGTGCTTGCTTATATGTTAAAGTGTCGGAAACTCTACTGCGGAAGAGCTCTCTGCATTCTCTGGGAAACCCTTGAAAAGTTCCGTTTTCGGAATGATCTTTCTTGAAACATTTCTCAGAAATGAAGCAGACTTAGTTAGAGAACAGAGCTTAAAAATTCCAACACTCACATTTCCCTTTGTAAGAAGTTGGGTAAGGCTGTAATAAATCGTGGACAGTAGGATATTTGCCAACCGTCAAATCAATACGAAGTTCCTCTTCAGTTCTTACAAGAGAAGAGTAATCAGACTGCATTCTCTTAATAGATTCCTGAAGAAAACTAAATGGGTTCGAAAAATTCAAATCACGTGCGGATAGGCGTCAATAACAGGAAAAAATGCGTAATATCAAATACATCCCCGCCACACTTTTGCGGTTATGCCTTTAGTCATCGAGAAAAGAGCGCATGTGCAGTCCAAAGATTATGCGCCTAGAAACAATGCTCAGGGTTGCTCACATATGAAATCGTTAGTTCTCCGGTATCCAACAAAGGGAGACTTCTCCTAATCCTTCTTCTGAGGGCACCAGGCTCATCTATTTCTCCTTTGTCCAGTGGAATGAGCTCTAGAGATGGTCTGAGCGAGCCAGATGTGTCGTTATCTTCAACAGTGGACGTCACACGATTTCCATCAATATCCGTATCCGATCTCGGCTTCTTGACAACCCGGAAGGACACTCATCGGCTGCGTCGTTGGAGTCTGAAAGCAGCCGTAGAGATACCTGAGCCCTCTGCACATCGCTACGCTGTCCTGTTGTCATATTTAAAGCTGAGTTGGACCTTAATTGCAGCTTCTATGTTAGTGAGAAAAGAGAAAAAATATTACAAGTAAGTCCGACAAAAACCGACATGAAAGTTTCCCGATCTATATTGTCGAAAGCCTCGGGTGGAGGAAGAGGTGGCAGCTCATCGAGTATTACAGGCTCTGTCACCTGTTCCTTAATTGAAAGAAAAGGAACCCTACTTAAAATGCAATTCAAAGATGAAGAGATCGAGATAGTCATTTAAAAATTCGAACCTGGGAACTTTCCCCGACTTTCTGAATAGATTCTTGCGAGTTCATGCGCGACCGGAGTTCATTCCAATTGATACTACGAATTCGAACAAAAATAGCATGAGACATGAAAGTTTCCCGATCTATATTGTCGAAAGCCTCGGGTGGAGGAAGAGGTGGCAGCTCATCGAGTATTACAGGCTCTGTCACCTGTTCCTTAATTGAAAGAAAAGGAACCCTACTTAAAATGCAATTCAAAGATGAAGAGATCGAGATAGTCATTTAAAAATTCGAACCTGGGAACTTTCCCCGACTTTCTGAATAGATTCTTGCGAGTTCATGCGCGACCGGAGTTCATTCCAATTGATACTACGAATTCGAACAAAAATAGCATGAGAAGCGACCTCTTTATGAGATTGCATAGCTCAAATCTAAAATAAACTCACAACTCTCGAGCGTTCAATACAACAGGCTGCCGATTTTCTTCATCCATGAAAACGTCTGGACGATGCCAAATCATGGGTTCACTATCAGCCA